ACGCGGGCTGGCGGGAGGAAGACGAAGGCGCCGGCCGCGAATGGACGGCGGGCGGCGGCGGTTTCTCCGGGGCGCCTTGTGACGATGAGGGGCGACGGGGCGTACACTGGGATGACGAGGAAGAAGGAGAGGGAGCGAGCCAACGGCTCGGATTTGCCGGAGGGAGTCCGTCGGCGGCGGATTTCGGCGGCGGCAACCGGCGGAGGGCAAAGGGGGAAGCAGTGACGAGGTCACAAGGGGCCAATTCCCGGCGGTGAGAGCATCTACACGGCCACGGGAATCCGTTGCTAGCGTCGGATTGGGCGGAGCTACGCCGAGCAAGGCCGGCGACGAGCGGGTGCTACGGAGCTCGGGCGGCGACGGCGGCGAGCACACGGCGAGCGACGGCAACGGTCGAGGCGGCGCCGGCTAGCTACGGGGAAGCTACTCGAGCTACTACCGAAAACTAAGGGGGAGAGATGGAGCGAGGAGGAAGAACGGAGGGAGGCACTACCGAGATGAGGAGAGCGATGTGACGAGAGGCCGACGGCGCGGGAGTAATCTCTCCGGCCTCGGGCCGGGGAAGAGGAGGAAGACGAGCGCCCGGAGTCCCCTTCCGCGTCCACGAACGCACCGGCTCTCCCGGCGCTTGGCGATGAACGGTGGAGGCGAGACAGAGCTCGGAAGGCGGCGGCAACAATGGCGATGGGAGGAGGAGAGAGGGAGGGCGCCTGGGCTTTAAGGGCGGCAATGTCGGTTTGGAATCGACTTGGGCGGTCAAGGCGCGAACTGGCGCTCGGCGCTCGCGTCCAATCGGCGACAGGGCGGAGGGAAGATGACGCCGGCGGGAGGAAAAGGGGAAAAGGAGGGAGGGAAAGGGGGCTCGCCCCTTTCTTCTTTGGGAAAAGGAGGAGGGGAGCGGGGGCGACGTGGCTGAGGGAGGAGGGCTCTGCCTCCGTCCCTTGGCGGCTTGCGCGCGGAGTGACGGGGCTGAGGCGATGATGACGGCGATGACGGCGGGGCGGTGTGGAGCGGAGCGGCGACACGGGCGACAGGCGCGTGCAGAGGCTGACGGCGGCGGCGACCGGGCGGTCGGCCACTCGGCACGCGCGCGCGGCTTGCAACGGGAGGCGCGGCGGATGGAGTGGCGCGGCTCGGGCACGCGTGCTGGCTGCAGGGCCGAGCGGCTGCAGGCGCGGCAGGGCAGCGGGGCCGGGCAGTGCAGACGCGACGCGGCGATGATGACGCGGGTGCGCGCGCGAACGACGCGCGGGGAGCGGCAGCGAGGGAGCGGAGAGGAGGGCTCGGCTCGGCGCGGGCGGCTCACGCGCACGCGCGCGGGCAGAGCGGAGGGGGAGGGAGGCGCTCGGCGCGGCGGCTCACGCACGCGCGGGTAGAGCGGAGGGAGCGGAGGAGGGGAGCTCGGCGCAGCTCACGCGCTCGCGCGTGCAGCGCGCGGGCGGAGCGGAGCGGAGGGAGCGAGAGCGAGAGAGATAGGGAGAGAGAGCGCCGGGAGGGAGGGGGAGATGGGCCGGGGGGGAGAGGGGGAGATGGGCCGAGAGAAATTCGGCCCATCGACCCCGGGGGAGGCAAAATAGACTTTTGCGGAGGAATTTGATTTGGAAGGATTTGGATTCGGGATTGAACTCGACGATAGATCGGGGATTTGAGATCTTGAGATGGCACGGACACTAGACAACAAGCAAAGAAACAAATTTCGCAATTAGGGTTTTTTAAGAGATAATTTTCCCGCTAGGCGCCACGACGGAACGGGCGCTACGGACCAACCCCCCTAACAAGAATCTCGACCCTGAGATTCAGCACCTAAGGGAGCAGCTCCGGGAACTCGGCGCGGAGAAGATCTTCTCGCTCCCAGGTTGCCTCATCTTCAGAATGGTTGCTCCATTGGACTTTGTAGAACTTGATGGTCTTCCTTCGAGTCTGACGTTCTGCCTCTTCAAGAACCTTGATCGGTCTTTCCTTGTAGGTCAGATTCTTTTCCAGCTCGATATTACCCAGGGGAACTTGTTCTTCTGGAACTCGAAGACATTTCTTTAACTGGGATACGTGGAACACGTTGTGCACATCTACGAGACCTTCAGGCGGTTATGAGGTAAGGGCCGATGTAGCGGGGTGCTAACTTGCCGGACATCCCAAACCTTCTCATACCACGGAGGGGTGATACCCGCAGGTACACATGATCTCCCTTTTCGAACTCAAGGTCATGCCTCCGATTGTCAGCGTAATTCTTCTGACGGTTCTGCGCTGTCTTTAAACGTTCTCGGATTAGCTTAACTTGTTCTTCTGCTGACTTGAGTATGTCAGGACCGAATACCAGCGCTTCGCCCACCTCATTCCAGCACAAGGGAGTGCGGCACTTTCTTCCGAACATTGCCTCATTCGGCGACATCTGAATGCTGGCCTGATAACTATTGTTGTATGAGAACTCAGCATACGGCAAACAACGATCCCAAGTGCCTTCGAAATCCAGGGCACACGCACGTAGCATGTCTTCTAGGATTTGGTTTACCCTTTCTGTCTGACCATCGGTCTGCGGATGGTAGGCCGTACTAAAATTTAGATCGATTCCGAGGGCTTCATGCAACTGCTTCCAGAACCTTGAGGTGAACTGAGTCCCTCGGTCTGACACAATCTTCTTGGGACAGCCAAATCTACATACGACATGGGTCATGTAGAGTTCTGCTAGTTCCTTTCCATCAAAGGTGGTTTTCACTGGCATGAAATGAGCTGATTTCGTGAGTCGGTCCACGATTACCCAGATGGAGTCGTACCCGCTAGGGGTTCTTGGCAAACCGGTGATGAAATCCATTCCGATCTCTTCCCATTTCCTCTCGGGAATCGGTAGGGGTTGCAGCAGACCAGCTGGCCTCTGATGTTCTGCCTTGACTCTTTGGCAAATGTCACACAAGGCTACGTATTCTGTGACATCTCGCTTCATTCCAGCCCACCAGAAGTATGCCTTGATATCTTGGTACATCTTCGTACTTCCTGGATGAATGGAGTAGGCGGACTCATGAGCTTCCTTTAGGATGAGATCTCTTAACTCCTTCTTGGCCGGTACACAGATGCGTGGACCGCACCAAACTGTGCCTTGATCGTCTATGGAGAAATTGGTGTCTTTCTTCTCCTGTATTCTTTTTATTAACTCTTTTATCCCTTCGTCATCTTTCTGAGCCTCCCGAATTTGCGATTCTAGGGTAGGCTGTACTGTCAAGCTAGCAGGGACACCTGACTGTACCACGGTCAGCCTTAACTTCTCCATTTATCTGCACAGGCGATCTTGGTCAGGCCGTATTTGAGCTACATTGCAATAGGCCTTGCGACTTAGCGCATCAGCGACCACGTTAGCTTTACCGGGGTGGTAATGGATTCCAAGATCGTAATCCTTGATTAGTTCCAGCCATCTTCTCTGCCTCATATTTAACTCGGTCTGAGTGAAGATATACTTAAGACTTTTGTGATCGGTGTATACTTCACATCTATTCCCGATTAAATAGTGCCTCCAGATCTTAAGAGCATGAACCACGGCTGCCAACTCGAGATCATGGGTAGGATAATTGACTTCATGAGGCCTGAGCTGCCGGGATGCATAGGCCACAACCTTTCGTTCTTGCATTAGGACACATCCTAAGCCTTGTCTTGATGCATCACAGAAGATCTCGAAATCTTTTCGGATATCTGGCAAGGTGAGAACTGGGGCAGTGGTCAACCTTCATTTCTTGAAAGCTGTCTTCACAGGCTGCAGACCATTCAAATTTCTTTTCCTTCTTTAACAGCTCGGTCATAGGTCTGGCTAGTTTAGAGAATCCTTCAATGAATCTTCGATAATATCCAGCTAAGCCAAGGAAGCTGCGAATCTCTGACACATTCTTGGGCGGGTTCCAAGCAAGTACAGCCTCAACCTTGCTGGGATCTACTTCGACACCGTTGGAGGAGATCACGTGTCCAAGAAATGCTACTCGGTCTAACCAGAATTCGCATTTCGAGAATTTTGCGAATAGTTGAGGATTTCTGAGCTTTTCCATTATCAGCCTCAGATGTTCAGCATGTTCTTCCTCGTTCCTTGAGTATATCAGGATGTCATCGATGAACACCACGACAAACTGGTCCAGGTATTCCATGAAGATTTTGTTCATTAAGTTCATGAAGAATGCTGGAGCATTGGTGAGTCCGAAGGACATCACTGTGAACTCATATAGACCATAACGCGTTGAGAAAGCGGTCTTCGGGATATCTTCAGATCTGATTTTTAGTTGGTGGTAACCTGATCTCAAGTCAATCTTTGAGAAAACTCTTGCTCCTTTAAGTTGATCGAACAAATCGTCAATCCGTGGCAACGGGTACTTGTTCTTTATAGTTACTTCATTCAGGGCTCTATAGTCGATTACCATTCTCTCAGAGCCATCCTTTTTCTTAACCAGAAGCACTGGGGCTCCCCAAGGGGATGAGCTAGGTCGCACATAACCTTTACTCTCCAACTCTTCGATTTGTCTTTTAACTTCTGCTAACTCATTAGCTGCCATTCGGTATGGTCTTTTTGCAATTGGTGCAGTGCCTGGTGCCAGTTCTATGGCGAACTCAATCTCTCGGTCTGGTGGCATACTCGTTAATTCTTCCGGAAATACGTCGGGATATTCACAGACTATGGGCACCGACTCCAAGGAGGTGACTTGAAAACAGGTTAGGAGAGACCGACTTGCGGTAGGGGTGTTAGAGGTAAAGCGGACTTGCTTTCCTCCAGGTCCTTGCAAGGTGATGGACTTTTCGGCACAATCTATCTGTCCTTTCTGCTTGGCCAACCAATCCATCCCTAGGATGATGTCCAAGCTTTGCGAGTCTAGGACTATCGGTTTGGCTAGGAAGTCAACTTCCTCAATTCTAAGGTTAACTTCCGGGCATATTTGAGTTGCCCTTATATTCCTTCCAGGGGAATGTACTATCATTGGTACACGCAAATTTTGGGTTTTCCAACCATTTATTTTCACAAAAGCTTGTGATATGAAAGAATGGGAAGCTCCTGAATCAAACAGAACTATTGCGGGTACGGAGTTGACAGAGAACATACCCATCACAACGTCTGAAGCATCCTGGGCGGTCTCAACTTGAATGCGGTTCACCCGGCCTCGACCAAGGTTGTTGGAAGCACGTGAACCTTGTCCACTTGCCTGAGAGCTAGGACGAGACTGAGCTGCCGCTGGAGTAGGAGTTCTGGCAGTGCTGCCATTAGCATGCCCTGAGTTGGTGTTGGTAGGATTCTGAGGGCACTGTCTGGCATAGTGACCCATCTGGTTGCACCGGAAACACTGAACTGCTGATGGTCCCTGCGGTGACTTGAAAGAGGTAACACTGTTTGGCGCAGTATTGCCACTAGGGGCACACTGCTGTGGCTGAGGTGCCGGACGGTTCATCTGAGGGCGAGGGGCATAGCCTGGCTGGCGGTTAGCCTGAGTGACCGACTGGTGGTATTGCATGGGTTGACCGTAGCGAGGGCGAGGTACGCCTCGGGAAGGATTTCCCTGATGGTTAGACTTGCGTTTCTTGTATTCTTCGGTGGCCTCTTTTCTGGCATCCTCAAGTAGAAGTGCCTTGTTGATCATATGTTGAAAAGTGGGGAAATCATGAGCAAGCAACTGGAGTCTCATTCCAACTGCGATCCCTTTCAAGAATTTCCTGATCTTCTTCTTGTCTGTGTCTACTTCCTCAGGGGCGTACCGAGCCAACTTGTTGAACATACTTAGGTACTCATTGACACTGCTGTTGCCTTGCTTAAGTTTGTTGAATTCCTCTTTCTTCATGTCAATAGTGCTTTCAGGCACATGAGCTGCACGGAAAGCCGTAGCAAACTCATCCCAAGCAATGTTAGTGGGTTCAGGGTGTGCATTGCAGTAATTCTCCCACCAATCTGCAGCAGGTCCTCTTAGCTGGTGAGAGGCGTAGAGCGTCTTCTCAATAGGAGTGCACTGTACTAAGTTGAGTTTTCTATCAACATCTTTCAGAAAATCGTCAGTCTCGACGGGCTCGACGGTCTGAGAGAACTCTGGCGGACGAGACCTCAGAAAATCTATCAACTTGGATCTATTGTTGCTCATGTGAGGGTGGCCATTTCCATGCGCATTATGCTGAAAACCGGCTACAGCTGCGACTAATCCTTGCCAGATTTGTGTCTGAACTGCCATTAAGTGCTTCATGTTGTTTTCCACATGAGGTGGGGAAGGGAGGCGTTCTTCTCCAGAATTGTGACTGGCAGAGCGGTGAGAGCGGTGAGACTGTTCCATCTCTGCATCACGGGAAGCTGTGCGATGCGAGCGGTCGCTACGGCGGGGTTGCTCAACTTCTGCGTTGCGGGAAGCAGTACGGTGCGAACGGTTGCTGTGTTGAGACTGCTCATTGGCTGACTCATGATTTTCTTCTGGCTCGACTCTACCATCTTCAAAACCAAAGTGGGCTGGTGCACGAGCTGCACGGCGGGGGCGGCTAGCCATCTAAACTCCCAGAAGAGGGCGGAGGAAGAGTCAGATAAGCACTTAGGAGGGCAAGGAGCAAAGTAAATAGCAACTCAGATAGCACACACTAGGCATAAACTAGATTTTTCAAATCATAAAAACACCTAATACAACGGGTGTGGACAAGTCACAGAGCTACGCCGAGCTTGACTGTGCGCACAACACCTAGGAGAACCAGGCTACCGAACAACACCCACAACAACACACGCACGCACTACCTCGCCACGACTCCAAAAGAGTTGGCGGCGGAACAAAAGGGCCTAACACACGGACGACAGCTGAAGACTGCCTCCTCTACTCCTCGTCGGCCTGGCTGCCTCCTGTAGTCGGCTCCTCAGTCGAAGAGACGTCGATCGGCTGACGCGAAGGGACCGGCGGAACCTGTCGAGGGCCGGCATGTCACGCCCGGAATTTCTATCCAAAATTCCAAACGCTTACATGTGTGCTAAACCCTCGTCTAGGAATCAACCGAGGCACACAATAACAAAATTGATAATAGAGTACAAATAATTAACTATTTAATATTCGCAAATAAATAATTACTACAGAGGTAGATAGTTCCCCTCAAAAAAAAAAAAAACCTTCTACGCAGCGGAAAAAAAAACTATAACAAACTACGGAACAGCTATGACGACTCCACTCCACAGGCTTCTTAACCAGAACAAGCCTAATCCTCCAGATCATCACCTTCACTGAGATACTCCTCTTCTGATGAATGAATATTGCAAGAATGAGCATATGACATACTCAACAAGTCACACAGCAAATATGCAAGTGCACAGAATAACAAAGGATGGCATAATAGGGTTTCATTTGCAAAAACAGCATTTAGCAAACATTTGAGAATTTAATAAAACAGTTAGTAATAAACAATATTAATCCAACGCTATACAACATACCCTGTTGTATAGGCCCAACCATTCAGAACAACCATCCCGGCTGCACAGTTCTATCTCCAAACCAGGAATATACCATTCCAAACCAGGAGCTAAACAAATTATTACCAATTAAAGCATCATTTACTATGGTGTGAAGGTGAGACTAATCACGAAAAACATTGCTCAACTCACCCATAACCGCGGGTACGGCTATTCGAATAGATTAAACTCTGATCAGAGGTGTACCACTGTACCCACAAGACACAACCCCACATCATGTCACCATGTGCCTCAATACCACCACGGTACCTCGGAAAGGAGTTGTGACAATACCCCTTGCACAACATAATCCATTACAGCGCACCTTTCCTGGATCATAATCACCCCCTTATAAACAAGGCATGGACTCCCCAGCGACCCCCGTGGACTTCTCGCCACTTCACAGTCTGGCGCACTATAATGAATCATGCTATACAAAAGATAAAGCCGTTGCCCACGCTGGCTTGTGGTTGGCACGATAAATGTTTCACAACAGTAGCTCGCGAACCGGTCCTTAACTGTCATGAGCACAACCATCAAAACCATATGCTCACAACCCACCTTAACCAGGTTTTAATTATCAATTAATTAACATCACACGATTAACCATCGTGAGCTACCATTTAATGTAACCATAATTAAAATAATAATATAACACAGTTTATAATTAATCCCTTTAGTTAGCTAATGTTTCTAAGCATGGCTAAGCAAACTTACATATAGCATTTAGCTGAACCAATCCAACATATAAGGTTTATGCTAGTCAAATTATAACCCATAGGAAAATAAGATCATCTTCGGCCATTAATTAATTGGGAAAGGTTCACCACCCGATGACATTCGAAAACAATTCATAGTTGAAATAAAATAATAGCTTTAAATGGGTTCAACATGCTCAAAGGTTTGTTTGGGATCTGTGTGACTTGCCTTGGGCTTCCGCAAACGCTTCGGAACCTTCCTCAACGGAAACGCTCTCCTCCGGAACGTCGGAAACTAAAGCAATTAAACAAAAATTAACAAAACAGTACAAAAACAAGCATAAACAGTACATGTGGATATTTTTAACATGTAGATCTCAATTTTAGAAAAATTTAGCAACTTGAACCACCTGAAACGGATCTACGGTTATTTAGTTATGATTTTTCGAAGATTTAATCTATTAGAAAAACTGGAAAAGGAGAAAAAACCGATGATGACGTCATGATGACATCATCAATGGCCGGCCCGGGTTGGCGACCTCGCCGGAGATTGGATGGTCGGCTGCGAATTTGGAGGACATGTACACGTAGAGGACGACGAGACGAACCCGACGGTACTCACCCTCGAGCCAAACGACGACCGACGACGGCCGGCGACGAGGAGGCGACGGCGGCGGCTCGGGTTGGCCGGTGGGGATGGGCTACGGCGGCCGGCGGCGAAGGAGAGGTGGCGGCCGAGCTTCTCCACCTCTTGGCGAAACCAACGGCGGCGACGGCAAGCGACGGCGACGGCGGAGGCGGCGTGGCGACGCAACCGGAGTTCGGCCGGCGGCGGCGGCGGATGGTTTCACGCGGCGACGGCTCTACGGGTCACGGGAGAGGACGGGAGAGGGGGCAAACGAAAGAGAAGGACTAGGAGGTCCTATTTATAGCCTTGGATTGAAGAGATCGGACTCCTCCCGCAAGAAATCGACTCGGGAAATCAAAAGCTCGGTTTTGGAGATAAACTCGAAAACGAGTTTGATTCGGATAAAATACTCAACCATTTGCTCCGATTTTTGGGGGTAAAGATAGAGGAGGATGTGGGGATTAAAACCCCTCTAACATCCGGACTCGGGGTGGCCGGATTGGGGCGGATTTGAGGGCGCAAGGTGGCGGCTCGGGCTCGGCATGCATGGCTCGGCCGGCTGCTAGAGGAAGGGGAAGGATCCGACATGTGGGGCCCACATGTCGGTCTCCCGAGAGGAGGGGGCGGCGGCGACGGGTTGGGCCGGTTTTGGGCCGGCTCGGCCGCGCGGGAGAGAGGGAGTGTTGGGCCGAATTCGGCCCAACGACTTAAGCGAGGGCTTTTGGAACTTTTTAAATGAAAATAATTTGTGAAATGTTGTTTCAATTATTAAAAATACTTCCCTTGCTCAAACAATTCCCAGAAAATTCTAGAAAATAGAGGAACAAGGAAAGTATTTAATAAAATTTTATCTAGCTCATTTTTATGTTGAAAATTTTCCTAGATAATTAGGGTTTAGCTTGTAGGCTTTTAATTTTAATTCTAAAAATGATTTAAACAATGCATTTGTAATTTAGGCGATTTTTAGGGCGTGACAAACCTACCCCCCCTTAAACGGAATCTCGTCCTCGAGATTCAGAAGAACAGGCGAACAGATGAGGATGAGCTGACTTCAATTCATCTTCTCGCTCCCAAGTGGCTTCTTCTTCTGAATGATTGCTCCACTGAACCTTGCAGAACCGTATAACGCGATTCCTGGTATTCCTCTCGCTTACTTCGAAGATTCTTATCCCAACTTCCACCAAAATCTAGAACACAGGCTCTCAACATATCTTCTAAAATTTGGTTTACTCTTTCCGTCTGACCATCTGTTTGAGGGTGATAAGCGGTACTGAAATTCAAACGGGTACCCATCTCTACTTGTAATTTCTGCCAAAACTTTGAAGTAAACTGGCTACCTCTATCTGACACTATCTTCTTAGGAACACCATGCAAGCATACCACTCTGGCCATGTATAACTCTGCAAGCTTATTCCCCGTGTAAGTTGTTTTGACCGGTATGAAGTGAGCGAGTTTTGTCAACCTATCAACCACTACCCAAATAGAATCATGTCCTGCCGACGTTCTGGGTAGACCGGTTATAAAATCCATTCCTATTTCTTCCCACTTCCACTCTGGAATCTTCAACGGTTGTAACAGACCGGCTGGCTTCTGATGTTCTGCCTTGACCCGCTGACATACATCACATAGAGCCACATATTCTTCTATCTCACGTCGCATACTGGCCCACCAGAATTGTTGCTTTAGGTCTTGGTACATCTTAATGCTTCCAGGGTGAATGGAATACAAAGTTTCATGAGCTTCTTTCATGATAGTATCCTTCAACTCCTTATTATCAGGCACGCAAATTCTTTCTCCTAACCACACAGTTCCTTGCTCATCTTCTACATAACCGATGGCTTTTCCTCTTCTCATGTTCTTTTTTATTTCTTGGATATCAGGATCATTCACTTGAGCTTCTCTAACTTGATCAAACAGAGTAGGTTGAGCTTCTAAAGTAGCCACAAAACCTTTGCTGACTATATCCAAGTTTAACTTTTCAAATTCTTGGCATAACTCCCAAGGTAAATGTCGACCTTCTGACATATTACAGTAGCTTTTCCTGCTAAG